ATGCTCACTAACAGCGCAACCCAACCCACTAAAGCACCTCTTAGGCTTTCCTAGGTTCCCGTACTCACCCAGTCCTCAACTGTTGAAGGACTTCCCACTAATGTCAACTAACTACCTCATGAATATAGCCACATACGACTTAGCATATTCACTTAGTTGCTAGCTCACATTACTACGAGTCACACCAAGCACAAAGAAAGCAGCATTCAGACAATGGAAAATATAACCATCATATTCCAATCAAATCATTATATCCTCTAATCAGGAATTTGTACTTGCAATTCAAAGGCTGATCATACAAGCAGGCATATCTAAAGAGGCCATCCTATCACTGAATGATCAATATAGGCATGCAGGTCTACAATCACATACAATAGGCATATAAGGCATCCTTCCTAGATCCTTAGCCCTAATCTAGCATTCAGTTCTCATAATCATATTATATCATAACATAACATGTATAGGTATCTTGGAGAAAACTTACTTCAGCTCGGTTGATTGCATGCATCACACACCTTGTTCTTTTTCAAGTTCTTTTCTCTTTCCAAATTCTATTAAATCAAATGATTTTCCTTTGAAAATTTTCTTACCAAGTCCTCAGTTTGAGTCCAGACACACCCGAGAGTGTGCCCGAATCTCTCAAATAAAGGCTCTGATACCAACTTGTAACATCCTAAAATTCAAGACCAAAAATTTCGTTTTAATTAAGTTATTATAAAAGCAACAGTATAAAAAAGCATCCATAATAACACATCGTGTCCAAACCAAAGTAGAAATCATCACAACATGTTATCATAAAACAATATCACAGTGTAATCCCAAAGATCTCATATGCGGAAAACCATAGTGTGATGCGCTGCGATCGAGCCGACTCCTTTCCTTTGAAAATGTAGTACCTGAAACCAAAACTGAAAATCGTAAGCACGAAGCTTAGTGAGTTCTCCATCATACCACATACCATACAACACATATACGACCAAGTATATCCGGGTGTTGGCCTACCCCTTCGGTTTCTTTCAACCGGTATCCGGGGACTGGTGCACCCCCTATCACCACCACATAATAACATAACATAACATACACAAAAAGATCGTCAAGCATATATGGGTGCCCGACCTACCCCCTCGGTATCTTTCAAACGGTACCGGGAGCTAACCTCCCCTTCGATATCTTTCAACCGGTAACCGGGAGCTAACCTCCCCTTCGGTATCTTTCAACCGGTAACCGGGAACTATTTCACCCCCACCACTACCACATAATATCATAACATAATGTACTGCTAGGCATGCATGGGTTCTGACGACCCCCTTCAGTATCTTTCAACCAGTATCCAGGGATTATGTCACCCCTACTACTACTAACACATATACAGAGAATCCTAGCACATAGATCATATCAGATAGTTGCAAACCAAACAATTATCACAAAGACAGTCATCTCATACAGTCACCTACTAGTGGGTCGGTATTGGTGCCTTAGACCTACTTTTACTGGAAAGGAACTCACCTCATACTGCTGAATTCCCGCAGACACAACCCCAACTGTTGGATGACAGATTCACGGTCTGGCAATATCAAAACATCACACAATTAATAATTGGGTTCCAACACATAACCATAAATACATACTTCGGGGTAAATACTACTTTACCCCTAGCTTAGCTTTATTCAAGCCCAAGGCCCAATCCAAAGGCCCAAAATTCAACTATGAGTCAAATTCGGCCTAATTTTCCAAGTTGGACCCGAACCTTTACAAAGTCTTACAATAAGGCCCAACCATATAGTCTAGTCCAACATACGACATTCTAATGGCCTAATATCACATAATCATTAAGGCCCAATTATGGCCCATCTATGGCCTAATTTTCCAAATTGGGCTCAAACCCTCACATATAGGCCTTATCCTAAAGCCTATTAAATTATTCTAGTCCATATGATTATTCTTGGATGGCCCACCAATAACCCAATCATTAAGGCCCAACAGTAAACCCAAGTGAAATTAGGGTTTCACATACAATGACAATTAGGGTTAAGTGTTTCTCACTTACCCCATCAAGGACTTAATCCATTAAGTCTATCACTCTTCTAAATAAATCATATAGTGTGATTGGGCTTAATACACAATTCCATTCCAGTGGCCCAAAAGTGGGTCCTGATAAGTCCAAGCCCATAAATCCAATATTAGGGTTTTCTAAACCCTAATTAGGGTTTCCGACCACATCTTAGCCCAATAGGCCCAATAGCTAGGTCCATTGATTAATTAGGGTTCATTAGGCCCAATAGGGTTTCATTGGGCCCAGTAGGGTTCTAGTCCCTTTGTCCAAACATCCACACGAATCACAATACAAACGAGACACACAGCCACCCGACATGGCGGCTGGTGGCGGCAAGAGGCGGCAGCCACCACCTCACGGTGGTGGTTAGGGTTTCATTTCCATTATATCCTTATCGATTACAGCATACAATGGAACAACTCAAATAATATACACACATACTAAAAATAAACACATACACAACCACCTAATGGTGGTCGATGGTAGCGCATAATGGCAATCACCACCTCACGGTGGTGGCGGTGGCTTTTCCATGAACTCTGGCTAAACAAAATGCCCCAACACACACTTCAAAAGTAGTACACACTCCAGCCACCCACCTGGTGGCTCACGGCGGCGGCGGCAACAGATTCACGATGGCAGCCACCACCTCACGACGGTGCTGGTGGTTCCTTTTGGTTCCTAATCACGCAGCAACACACGCCAACAAGTAGAAAACCCATAAATCAGTGACACTCATCTTCAACGGAATCAAAAGCAGCGATGATGGCGTAACGGCAGTGGTGGTGGTGCTACCCGACTGGTGGTTCCTGGTATTGGTTTTCATCCCAGTTCCGCCAACGACTCTGATAATCAGGTCGCGAATAGCGCTTAATGGCTAGGCAGGAGGCGGCGGCCTTGTCGTCGTCGGCGAAGGGAGTTACGACAGTGAACATCCTTACCGGCATCAACGGTTTACGGTGGAGGCTTCGGTGGTCGGAAAAGCAAGAAGGAGTAGGGTGGTGGCCGGCTGGGGGATGATAACGGAGAAGGTGGCGGCTAGAGGACTTCGGCGATGGCGGCTGTCTTCACCAGTTAGGGTAAGGGTTTAGAACCGAGGGTGACGGGTTTATATACCCCGATCCCCCAAACTTGTTTCCATAATAACAAGTTCAGCCCCTCCCTCCAGAAATTATTTCGAAATAAACCCCCATAATTACCATTTAAATCCTGTCCTCGAAAATCCCTTTCAAATTAAGTCCCATATTTTACTAAGTAGCCCCCTCCCTGTACAATTATTGTCAAATGAGGTCCATAATTTACTCTTTAGCCCCCGCTTTCATAAATCATTTCATATTAGGTCTAGTACTTACCAAATATGCCCTTGTCTTCTAAAATCTTTACAAAATAAATCCCGAACTTATACTTTAACCCCCCAAAATATCCAACTTAAGGCATTTGGCTTCCCAAAACCAACAGCTTGCTATATAATTATTAATTTTAGGGCTACGATTCATTCATTCATTAATTTAGTCTATTTAATTATTAATTTTAGGGTTACGTACCTTTTCAGTTATATGACACATTAAAGATTCAACCATGAGACAATGTGCTTCATTATCTCCATCATGCTCTTTTTCACATTCACTTTCATCACTCAGTCCTCCAAATAATTCACCTTCCAACATCTTCTTTACTTAATGCTTTGCTATCATTGCACCGTGAGTTGGATTGCACATCTCGTCATCATCCGATCTATATGACCAGATTTAATACGTTCCTTCATTATCCTTGTAATCCGTCGCCACCAGAGAGAAACCTTTTGACTTACTTTTCAACTCCTCTGTCTTCAAGGCGTTGTATGCATCATCCTTCACCTAATCTTTATTTCTCTTCCTTCTTGAGAGTACAATCCTTGCCAGATGGTTTTTACCATTACAGTAATTACAATCATAACATGAGTCTCCGATCAACTTCTTCTCCTCTTTCTTTTTACCAGCACTATCAAGTTGCTTGTAAAGATTTGTGGAAACAGATGTTGAAGGCACCTTCTTGAAAGAACTACCTTTGAAGTCGTTGTTTGAGGATTTCTTAAATAACTTCTTTCACATTGTAATTTGAATAATAAACAACAGATTCATCATCCGAAGTAATAATCAAAATATTAGAAAAAATTAAGAGGGAATTCAACATTTAACGGTGCCGACTAGATCTAAATGCGGCAATAAATGTTTTTTAATGTGGTTTCATAGAAACCGCACCAGCAAAGCTATTGTCAGGTGCTTTTTTCTTATTTTTTGATCTGATATTTAATAATGTGGTTTTTAAAAAGGGTCGTTACCAAAAAATAAAAAAATAAAAAAAAATCGATGACACTGTTAAATGACTTCTCTGCTAGTTGTTCAGTGTAAGTGTGCAGCCTGACGACGTGCATCACGAGATTTTGATTGTAAAATGTTTTTATTTGTTGTTATAGTGGGTGGTTCTGTGTGGCCCCTTTACAAAAGTTTTCTATTACCAGCTGTACTCCGATTCTTGTTGGTTTAACAACTTCGGTTGGATTGTTGCTGCATAAACAGAATATATAATAGCAATCTGACATAAATTACTTACATGTTTTTTCATTTATTTTGAACAGGAGAAGACACCCAAATAGCAGTACCCTTGCACAATATACTATATACAGCACAATTAAATTTTATGTCTTTTCTACACCTTAGTTTGTGACTGTTGCTATAATCGAGTTGCTATATGTACATACACAAAACTCAAACATATAAAATTATAAATGAAAAAGATTCCACCTGTTTTATGCCGCTGATGGTTTTGCTGAACACATTTTTGTTCATATATATATGCCCTTTAACTCCATACGTTGAAGTATGGACCCTTTTGGGATCATGTGTTAGGTTACTGGGAGGAAAGCTTGAAGAATCCAGATAAAGTATTTTTTCTGAAATATGAGGACATGAAAGACGAACCAGTGGTACATTTAAGGAAACTAGCTGAGTTCTTAGGGTGCCCATTTTCCTCCGAAGAAGAGAAAGACGAGGTGTTGGAGGGTATTGTTGAACTTTGTAGTTTTGATAATCTGAGTAATCTGAAGGTGAACAAGGTAGGAAAGCTTCCATCTGGCGAGGATTACAGTGTATTTTTCAGGAAAGGCGAAGTCGGTGACTGGAAAAACCATCTGACCACCGAAATGGTGGAGCGCCTTGATCGTATCTGCAAAGAAAAGTTCGAAGGGTCAGGATTAAGATTTTAGTATGCATGATTTTGTATGTTATTTTGTTAATAATGCTTGTATGAGTGCTCGAGCGTATGGTATTTCATACTTCATTTTTTTTCTTATGTGTTCAAATAAAAATCAGCCAGCAGGACTGCAGGAAGCTGCCAATTACGTAAGATATGTTATCTACTTATTTAATACTATATCGTTCTTTTCGTTAGGACCTACTTGTTGTTATTGGAAATAATTAAAGAACAATACTAATTTTCCAATTGGGAATAGTTTTGTATTATAGATTCACCAATCGCCACCGATCTCCCACCAAGAATTGGATGATTGAATTTACTATTAGACCCCTTTCGTTTGTTGAACAGCGATATATATATATATATATATATATATATATATATATATATATATATATATATATATATATATATATATATATATATATATATATATATATTAGGTTAAAACCTGTGGGAACTACAGTTAAAAAAGAACAATATTATTGATAATTTAAAATGGTAATAAAAAATCAAAGATTTACAAAATTTTATTAAATCACAGCGATATAAGCCTTATATATAAGTTTATAATGATTAGTTAAACTTAATATATATTATTTTGAATAATGTCTTTTGAATATCTTACATACATTCGGTATGTATTGAGTTTTAATAAAATTATGATTTTATACGTACAATGCAATATAAGTTTGAATAAAATATAAAAAACACAATCAATTATGAAAATGATATTTTTATACAAAAAAATAAATATAACGGTAGTGTAATAAACATAAATAAATAGAACACAATAAATTACAAAATCAAGCAACATTAAAATTTTAAAAAGGCATAATATTAATCATTTATTTGCAAGTAGTTATTCTAGAAGATACGTAAATGTTTTATTTATTTATTTCTTTTTTTAGTTAGTTTTGTTAATAACTCATTAAATGGTTTAAATAATAAAGTATCAATCCAATAAAAAATATATAGTAAACATTCTTAAAGTACATTTTTTCTTGATTAACTTCCATTTTCTTTCTCTTTGATTCCATCTGTTTACTACAAAAACCTTTCTAATCAGAAAAATTAACATAAAAAAATATAAAATTTGCTGCTATAATAGCCGCACAAGTGCATAACTATTCACTTACCACAAATTACTTTCATTTATTGCATTGAACCCTTACACAAACCTAGGAAACGACATTGTACTTTCTTGCACTTGACCTTTTCAAAATTATATTGCATTTTCATTACTTTGATCATTTTACCATTATTAATCTAATTAAAGAAATAACATTATACTTTCATTCCATTGATAACTTTAGCATCCTACTTCAGTTTTTGTCACACCAACTCTAGTGTTTATAAAATACCAATTATACCCTTCATTTTTCGAATTAAGTTGGCAAAGGAAAGAGACCAACCCCATCAACTCCTTAACTGTGAATATAACACTTTACAATAGAATTTTTCAAAAAAAGATCAAAAAGCCCTTCCTTAGTAAACCAATCCAACCACCTGATAAAATTGCCATTTTTTTGACATAAATTAAAAATCAAACATTTACTCCTAAAGCCCTTCAACTCTTTATCAAAAAATTTGTAAGTATTCCTTTCCACCAAATCTAGTATTTGTAAAATACCACATATAACCTTCCATATTCAACGTTTTTTTTTATAGTGAAACTGATATTCATCAAGTTCCTTTTTTTCCCTTTTTATATCTATAAGCCACACACTTGGATTTCGTTAATGCTTAACTATTAATTCACACTTTTTATCAACCAAAGTCATTATTGGCAGAAAGGTTGACTGCAAGCTTGTTCTTGAAGGTATCAGAAGTACCTTCAACTATCATCTTCACATCATAGTTTCCATCACAGTATCATGATCTGTAGCATAATGGTTCAACCAATAACATCAAAAATTGAAGTATTAACGCACAAGAACATGTAAATGCTGATGTTTAAAGGGGCTCTCTTTTCCATAATTTTTTTATTAAGATAAAAAACTAAAATAAAATTGCAAGACTAAACTATCATGGTATTCTAGGTTAAAAAGAAACACCAAAGGAGACAAATATAACATTTTGTGATACCATACACATCAAAGTTTTTCATTTGGGCAAATCATCGAATAGTTGTCCTGCATTATGAAATATAACTATAACCTACAAACAAAGAGGGATGATGCTATATTGCCAATAGTCGACCCTACAGATTAAAACTCATGATTCATCAAATAAAGCTTAAGTCTAATCGAAAGAAAACGGTTCAATAAACCTGAAATCGGGTGGAACCAATCCAGGCTTAGCATATTGATTGACCAAACCGGATTTACAAGAACATAAAACAAAAATCAAAACAAAAACGTCAAATAAATATGCCCTAATGGAACATGAATCAGGAAAAATCAAAGATGAACATCTTTCTTTAAAAAAAAAAAAAAAACAGAATCGTATCATTTTACCTTTCACGTCATTTCTCTTAATCTCAAGTTCAATATATAGTGTAGAATATTTTCAAGCGAGATAAGCATCGGAGAGAGGATAACTGTAAGAAGAGGATGTGATATCGTGGATCAGGGAAGAAAAAAGAGACGGTTGTCGATTGTACCCAGATTTGGGGATGGTACGAGTCTCATATTTCAAAATTTGAATCTTATCAATGTTAGGATTTAAGAAGCGAGATTTTAGAAGAAAAAAGAGTAATTTTAAGATTAAAGGGGAGAAGGGTAAAGTGGTAATTTTAGTTGACGGCGAATAAGGTTTACTGAATGGACACGTAGCTAAGGAGGTTTCTTTTATTAGGAGTAGGATATATATATATATATATATATATATATATATATATATAATATATATATATATATATATATATATATATATCCTTAACTACAGTAATTTTACTAAGGATGGAACAAAAATGGTCCTTCTCTTTATATATATCTGGCAAAATAGATCCTCTGCTTATATATCAATACGTGTTTTGTACCGTTTTTTCGCCCAATGATATTTTGATTGCTGTTATTTTTCTTTACCCCCACCCCTATCTCTGCTATATCTATCTATTCAGATTTTATATATCCAATTCCTGCCATCTCACTCCTCTTACTTCCAGCTGCGTCGCCCCTCAAAACCGTCACTATTGTCGATTCCAGTCACTACACCATTTTCTTCACATCGTTCGACTTTCTCCAGGTGCTCTCCCTTTTCAGCAAACGTTTTTTCTTCTATCAATCAGGTTTGGTACGTTCAGCTTCTCAAAGCGTCAGTCCCTGTCACCGCCGACGCTTCCTCTTCACCGATTTTGCTCTACTCCTTCTCTTTTCGATTACGCCTCCACCCAATGACGTTGCTATTGAAGATGAGTACAATTTGTTTGAAGCATCCAGGATGCCCTAAATTGAATCCCTAAATTTTGCAGATGCTGCACTGACAAACCCAAAAACATCAGCGCCATGGCGTCCCGGACGAGACGATTCTCTATTTCTGGGCCGGGTACAAGCCGATGTTGGCTAATTCCATCGATGTTGGCTAATTCGTAATCGATGGTCCTACCCCTCTCTAAGTTCAGCATCGCCCCTTATCCACCGCCTCCATCATCGTTACAAATGCTTCATCTTTGTATCTTATATGTGTGTCTCAATCGATTCGTGTATCTCTTTTTTAACCTCGACTCTATGCACATTTAGACATATGTAGGAGGATCTCCATAAAACATCGACCCTAGGACATCGTAAAGTAAAAACCGTTAACAGCATTCACAGTCATTGCAGACGTCGTAAGCAAGTCGCAGGTCTCCAGCAAAGAGTCGATCATGATCTGACTTTACAATAGGTATTTGTTATTGAACTTCAGTTTACTTTCCTACAGTTCAATTTTTTGTACTGGCACACTTTTTCTAGCCCTAACTATTGGTTGACATGTCTTTTATTCTTTAGTTTTAGATGTGTTCTTGGAATTTTAAAGCAATCTTATGTTAGAAACAATCATATGAATATTCAACTTGCAATCAGAAATTTACGGGTGTTCAGATTATATTTCAAACACATCAATATACATGCTAGGGTTTCAAATTAAAAAATCAACTGTTTAAACTGAGTGTTTGGTTGTCTGTTGTTTCTTAGGCAAAATATTGGAAGCAATATATAGAAGCACATATGGTTGTCAGTAATGATGATGCAGCAAAATAGATGTTCAGCAGAAGCAATTGAATTGGTCATAGATACCTCTTTGGTTTGACTTTTCTCTATAATTTTACCTTCATCATTCAATGTTTTTGTCAATATTTCATCAAAAAAGCCAATGATAACTTCCTGAAATCTTTACCGGTTTCTAATACTTTGGTTTCCACAAAACAATAGGAACTTTTTGTTTTTTTCATCATTATTTCACTTACTTGTCTATATGCAGGAGAAAGGATTGGTATCTGAGTATCAACCAAAATATAATAGTGCAAGGGCTGTTTATAGAGAAAGAAAGAGGTATGATGATGAAATTGATTGGAATTTGGTTGTTGTTTCACCTTCTGGTTCTGTTAACGCAATTTCATACGTCTTATTTATTTATTTTTTATTCTTTATATGGTTATGATTTTGAATCGATTGTTATTGTGCAGGGAAGATGGTACGTCTGTTCCAGGTAACTTTTATGATGCACACCAAGTGCTTGATAAAATGCTTTAGTCGGGTTTGTCAATTTTTGGGATCACTTAGTGTTTAATTTCAGGTTTTTAACCTTCTTTATGTATTTCATCTTCAAGTTTTCTTTTCAAGGATGGATATTTTTTTCAGCTCACTGGGAATTCCAGTTTTTCGTTGCATGTTATACATGGAATATAGTTGGAGGGTTGCTACATGTCCCATTTGACATTGTGTATTATCGAAAAGTTCAATATTTCAACCAGGTAAGTCACCGTTTTTAATTTGGTTGCTTTTTACTGTGGAATTTGGATCTTTAAAATCATTCATTTGTGTTTACAAGCAGGTGCAATAGTTACTTCATGATTGATGTTCTCCA